GATAGTTTTTCGGAAGAGTTCACGGCCCGCCTTGCGTTAAGTGTGCAAGAGTCCGTAAACATCAACAATCTTCGAGATTCTGGTCAGGATATTAGGTTAAATTATTAATATTTTTATAGTAACATCGGTCTTGACACTTGTGAAATTTGTCAATTCAATTACCTTGATAGATTCCATTACATAGGTTTAAAGATACAGAAAGAGCTAATAGGCGTATTAAAACTGCAACTAAATATTGGTATTTCAATCAATTTGTATCCAAGCTGTCCTTTGGGAGTTATCTTCAATATTGTTTAATTTATTTACTTTAAAAGATCCTTCGGGAGGCTTAACGAAAAAGGGAAGATCTTGAATCGAGTGAGTGTAGACAGACACTTCAAATGTTTTTGTTCGGAACTTGTATACATGCAAGCTTATCTTGAAAATGTCGTAAGCGAGATTCAGGCATCTGTCAAATATCTTGTGTTTTATGATGCGTCTCCCGCCACAACACAATAAATAACAACGTCATAAGTGGCTAAGCGTTGATTTTCCCTTAGACACAGCCCACTGAGTTTCTCGCCGAATCTTCTCAGTGGGTCGCGTTTCCGATCTGGTGGTAGATTCTGCGAAGCACTGCTCTTGCTAGGGTCAGTGTTAGCAACTCTCCGGTTTGAGCCCCGTGAGCTCACCTACAAATGTTAGGGTGAAGCTGAAATAGCCTCTCAAGGCTATCAGCATAGGTAGGAGAATTTTTTTTATATCTGAGACAAGTCCATGCGTGTAAGTAGAATCATTGAAGTACTATTAAGAGATTTTAAACTATTTAAATACCATTAATACTATTTTGTATATATTATGTAAACGGTATATATCTGTTTATTGTATGTATATATTTTCTATATTAAGGTATTGTCAATGGTACACCGTAACATACCTACTATATTTATCGCTTTTAGCGGTAAGACCGCCTAATGTACAAATCTATCTGCCTTTTGACTGTTTTTGAACGTAAATTGTGTTTTGGTGTGCAATAAAGTGTATTCTCTCTCTCTCTCTCTCTCTCAATTATTTTACACGTAACTATTATAATAGTTACAATTAAAATAAATAATAATTGTCAGTTCAGAACATGGACAAAACTAAAGCCCCTGTGAAACACGCATGATCCAAATTTTAGGTAGTCAGGGCAAAACTGGCCTAACCTTATCATAGTTAGTATAGAGATAATGAGGTTAGAATTTACTTTTATATTGGTTCGTAGGCAAAAACAATACGCACAAAAATAATATTTACAATCATCTGTTCTCTATGGGTGAGATTAAGGATAGGCCGGTATTGCATCAAAATTTATTATGTTTTAAATAAATTGCAATATACGACGCTTGAAAGGCAAACGTGACTAAGCGACAATGCGTGAACTTTACAGTAGACTAATTTAAAGCTGAAATACCTGAAAACTAAATTTATTTTAACGAATCTAGCTAGTAGCTGTAGTAGAATCTAGCTAGTAGCTGTAGTAGAATCTAGCTAGTAGCTGTAGTAGAATCTAGCTAGTAGCTGTAGGATTGAAATGATTTTAATAGACCTAGAAATTTTTTTTTTTTGCGCATCGAATATGGGTATTTATGTACAAAGCAGTTACGTTGCTTAGTCACGTTTGCCTTTCAAGCGTCGAATGTATAAGCACGAATCCGAAAAATTGTGGGTTAGGCCACTTTTGCACTGACGGTCTCATTTATATGATTGGGAATTTGGACCGCCGTATACAATCAATCAATCAATATCCAATCAGCACCGAGCGCTTAGGAGGCGATTAAGCTTTTACTCTGTTATTACCAGTACTCACATAGGCACTTGTCGGGCGTTAAAACCGCATTACAAATATTTTTGTATAATCACTAGCAACACACCAATGTCGCAGAGATGAAGCAACATGAATTACTTTTTCGTAACGATAAATCGACAATGTTTTCTTTTGTAATGTTATATTAGAACATGTTTTAGGCCGCAAACAAAAATAGAGGGTGTCCCCGAAAAAAAAGATAATATTGAAACACCTCATAGTAGAGCTATTGGGGACACAAAATAAAAAAATAAATAAAAGAAATCTCAGGTAGTACCCAAATTAAGTATTTTAAAAAAAAGTTGATATTTTCCATACTGCTGTGCGTTTTGGAATATACAACAGCTACAAATAAATGAAATCCATAGGCTTTTTGGTGTTATAATATTCTATATGAACTATACTAAGGAATATGCAGAAAATCGTATGAGTAGCTAGTGTAATTTTTTATAAAAGTTAATCTGAACTTAAATTTTAATCATGATTTTTTTTTTCTTTATTTTTAATTTGGCTACTACCTAAAAAGTATTATTTTTAATTTTGAGTCCCCAATAGCTAGCTAGTGTTTCAGGATTATCCATTCTTTCTGGGACACCCTGTATATAGTTTCACCGTAAACTTAACACTTTCGCTTGCTTTTTTCGCACAATAAATAAATGAAAAATAATTTTAATAAAAATACCCTTAACGCGATTTGCCTTTTTAATCGAAAACCTACAGTGTTGTCAGTAAAATAAATCGAAAAATCTTTTTCTCCCATTTAAATTTCGAGATGAAATTGATTATGGTCGATCATGGAGCGGAAACTAGTTAAATTAATACTCCTAATATACGGTCAGCAGGCAGAGGCTTGGTCGTACCCCTGGCAGTGATGAATTAACAGTAACCACTCACCATCAAACGGCTCCGATGCTCGTCAGCCGATTTAATAAAAAATATCACACCATCAGGTAGGCCGTATGCCCGTCTGCCTACAAAGGCAACAAAAAAAAAAAAGAAAAATATCGTATCGTCTTTATTGGAATCGGAAACGAAGAGTCTTGATGAACTATCAAGTCTTGAAAAGCTATTTGGTGTAAGGCGATATTTTTGCAAATATACGGGAGAACCATTTAAAGTTTAAATTTTTGAAAAACTTATTATTGAAGTTCAATTAAAAACATCGAACTGTTGATGCTGATACCAAATAAAACGCACCTTTAATTACAATGATAAACGTCGTGTGTTAAGCGAAATGTCGCTTGAACCAAGTTCAGACTTGGTTCAGACTTCAGGGTCGTCGTGGCCTAAAGAATAAGACGTCCGGTGCATTTGTATCTAGCGATACACCGATGTTCGAATCCTGCAGGCGGGTACCAATTTCTCTAATGAAATACGTACTCAGCAAATGTTCACGATTGACTTCCACGGTGCAGGAATAACATCGTGTAATAAAAATGCTTGACGTACTGATTAAAAGGCAAATCTTGTTAAGTTATTAGTGCGAATTTTTTAACGTTCTCGATAGCGTTAAAGTTAACTTGAATTTGTATGAAGTCGGATCGTTTGCCTACGTTTGCCGCTAGGGGCGCTGTTCTAACTCCATACAAATTCGAGTTAACTTTTACGCGATCGAGAACGTTCGCAAATGACACGCGAAAAACACACTCAATCGAATAAGGTTAAATTACTAAGCTTTATTAAGTAACGTGTAGGAACATATTTGTATTAATTAAATATTATTGAATGCTTTATATATATATATATCGGGGGATGAAAGGTTATTTGGTTTAAGGGATATTTTTGCAACTATACAAGAGAGCCACTTAAAGTTCAAACATATGGAAAGAATATCATAAAAACAAAAAAACGTCTTCAGCTATTAAAACGGAGTAAACTTAATTGAAGTTCAATTAAAAACATCGAACTGTTAAAGCTAATAAACCACCTTTCATCCTACGATATGCAATCTTTAATGTTTGTTATTCTGACACCGCTAGCGCCATCTATTGGGTTTAGTGGAAAACGTAAAGTTGTTTCACTTCGTTTCTATTCGCTTGAACTAGAGTTAGTGACGCGATGAGGACTGTTGCAGCTATATTGGCGTACAGCAACGATCGCGTATCTGACTCTATACACTTGATTTTTATGTTCATCGTTTTAACGCATTTCCCGAAATTCCGGGGAATTTTCGCGAGCTGACAGCACCGGCTCCAAGGCTTTCGTATTGCACGTGTTTTTGTTACAAACACTTTTTTGTCGTAACGAAATAAAAACGGAAACTAAAACATTAATAAGAACAGCTTTTTTGTAAATCAATACGAATTAAATTTTCACGTTAAGCTTATAACAGATTTCGGGTTAAAGCTCAGCTTTTATATACTTTTAAAGTGAAGTTAAGGTCATTAAGTGGTCCTACGCTTTTTACATGACAGGTTACGAGATCCACTTGACTAAATACTTTGATTTACAAACGAATATTTATTTATTTATTGCATAGATGGTTGGACGAGCTCACAGAGCACCTGGTGTTGAGTGGTTACCGGGGCCCATAAACATCTACACCTTGAGATATAAGTTCTAAAGTCTCAGTATAGTTACAACGGCTGCCCCGCCCTTCGAACCGAAACGCATTACTGCTTCACGGCAGAAATAGGCATAATTTCCTGTCAGCCCCTTGGCTTCATCTCCTCTCTGGCTTTAATGGCTTCGAGTCTTCAACTTCCAGCAACAAGCCAGGTAGGCGCTTCTGAATTTGCATGTTGAATCGACTAAGACACCTTTACGATCTGGTGTTACCAGCGTTTTATGACGTCACATTCATAACGCACGCGCGTGCGAGAGGGATAGCTAGATTACCCTATTCCACGCCCACTTTGGCCTAATACCCAAAACTGTTTTATCATTTCGCAAGTTAAATTGACAATTTAAGTACATATTCCATTTAAATTGCATTCAACATTGTCATTGTTATTATACACAACAATGCAAGATGCGTTAATTAAAACTTACATACATGTACGAACAGGTAAAAAGCTAAAACCGTTTTATTAATATACATAAAACTTTACATAAACATTTTCAAGTCTTTTAATATTTCTTTTTTTTTAAACGAATGGACGTTGTCCCTTTAAGCACTCAATATTAATCATTTTCAAGGCCAAGTTTGTTTTTAAAACTAGTAAAAAGTTTTTAGTTTTTTTTTTTAATAACAAATTTGACGAAAATGATATTTTAACAAGTCACTGCATTTCTTAGTGGGTCACAGTACGTGACGTCATACGTGTGGAGCTGGGTTATGGCTATAAGTGACGGTTGCTCTCTCAGTAGAGTTCTGTGGTTTCCCATAAATCTTGGGAGGTTCATTTTGATTCAACAGTCTCCCTTCTGTGTGCTTAGTTTTTTAACTTCTCGACCGCGTTAAAGTTAACTCAAATTTGTATGGAGTTAGAAAGTTTGCCTGCGTTTGCCGCTAGGGGCGCTGTTGCAACTCCATACAAATTTGATTTAACTTTAACGCTATCGAGAACGTTAACGGACACGTATTACGCAGAAGTTTCACTTGAAAGCTTGGTGCCCATCCATGAAAACTTTCAATCGCACAATTATTGAAGCGAATCCAAATGTGTTAACTATAGTGTCAATGGAGGGCAGATTTCTGCATAAAATTTGCACGATTTTTCCGGCGTCTCAATGACAATGTCAGTGTAAAAGTAATTTTAATTCGATTTTCGTCAAATCTATTAAAACACACTTATTTATAAATATGTATAACTAACATTAATAAGTAAAAGAAATACGTTACAACATTAAGTATCAATAATTAAAGAATAAATAATCAAATTTAAACATACTTTTTTTTCAATGGCAACATTACGAAATGTTACCACGAAACACGTTTTTTTCCCCGTAATTTTAAAACTCTTTGGATTCTATTGCAACATTATCAATAATTTATAATTTCTTTGGGAAAATCGTTTGTTTAAAATACATTCGTTAAATATATTAAATATCTTTGCTTATTTCTTTGGCAGTTATATATCTTCGTATACAAACGACAGGCCACATTTTTTATTTTTCTATATAATTAGATATTAATTTTAATATATAAATTACAGTCATTTTGTATTATTAATTTTCAGAACACGTTTCCATACTGCGAATTTTCTACTAATACACTTGTATTTATAATTTGTTTGACGGTACAAATTAGAGTGGACTTAGAATACGCCCAGTCATCGGCGCATAGACAAATTTAAAATTTTTAGTGTTTTATTTTATTAGACACAATGATTATTTATTATTATAAGATAAGAGGCTTGGTTTTCTTAATTTAAATCAGAATAGCACCGCGCAAAACATTCAGCGTCTTCATTCCACAAACCGCAGTATGGCAACACAAGACAAACTATTCATGCAATGACATATCAAGGACGGTATTGCCATCGCAGTCACCCTTTAATTCGGGAGATTTCTCCCCAGTTTTGGGGGCTTCGTCCTCGCTGGAAACATTATTCGCGAACGACAGGAAATGCTTGCCGAAGTCCAGTTCGGTTTCGTTCTCGCTCTTGTCCTGAGGCTGAGGGTCGCCCGCATTGAGGCACTCGTAATGCTTATACTCCTTCTGACGCTTGCTATTCTCGACGAACTGCTTCAGTTGCTGCGGCATCGGGAAGGACGACTTGATGTGGCAGCGCTTCATCCAGTTACGCAGCGATTTTCTGGGCACTTTATGAGTTTGGGCGGCCCTGCAGTGAGACAGTCTCGTTGAGGCTCGTTTATGGGTCACATTGTTTAAACGAATTCAACAATCACTGGTGGTAAGGCCTCTTGTGAGTCCACACGGGTAGGTACCACCACCCCGCCTATTTCTGAAGTGAAGCAGTAATGCGTTTCGGCTTCAAGGGTGCGATAGCCATTGTAACTATACTGAGATCTTAGAACTTATATCTCAAGGTGGCTGGCGAATTTGCGTTGTAGATGTCTATGGGCTCCAGTAACCACTTAACACTAGAGGGGCCGTGAGCTCGTCCACCCATCTAAGCAATAAGAAAAAAACCTGATGGTGAGTTGTTACCGTCGCCCATGGACTTCAGCAATGCCAGGGGCGGAGCCAGGCCGCTGCCTACCGTTATGTACTCTCCACAAGCCTCGTTTGAAGAAGGACATGTCATACCGCTCGGGAAACACCGTGGAGGGGAGCTCATTCCAAAGTCGGATGATACGTGGCAAAAGAGCTCTGGGAGCGCACTTTGGATGAACGCAGTGGCTCCAGGTAGTATGGATTTACTCTACTTCGGTCACCAACACAAAGATCCAATCCAAACCTATTTATCTTAATGATTATACAAAATATATTACCTGTAAATACTCCCGCCCTTCTTGACATCCATCAGGGCTGCCCACATGGCCTCGTTCGAGTACCTCCTATTAGGATTGAATTTCCCCATCATGACCCTCTCCAGGTCTTTACGCGACAAGCCCGAGGAACTGATCTCTTTGCCCTCCAAGAACTGATCCAGGTCAGACTTGAGCACCGTGTCGCCTATATCAACGTTTTTATCTTTGAAAATAGGCGGCCTGCCCCTTCGTCTGATCTGCGCTTTTTCCCCGATTTTCCGGTAAATCTCTTTGTTGACAACACTTTTGGGGATCAGTTCCACCTCGGATTTTTGCGGTTTCTGCTCGATCTTCGACTTCTTCACTTGGCTCGCTCTCAGGAGAGACACTTCAAGCTCGCCATTTTGCTCCAACCATGATTTGTAATAGTCATTCTCTGCTTTCTCTGCGTTCTTCTGCTGTAAATATTCTTCTGTGGCGTTCGTATTGAGCCCGTATTTGGAAAATTCATTTTTTATTTCCACAGCGTTCATTTTGGATAGCCTGTTGATGTATTCGGAATTGGCTTTCGCTAAATTCTGCAGTTTGTTTTGAAAGAACAATTCGCTCTCCGGCTTCACGCGCACGTAGTCGTGGCGGCTCCCTAAAAACATAAGTGTTGCCAGTGAAAAAAATTCAAATTACCACCATTGAACCATGAATGGGAATATGGAAGGTAAACAAAAAAAAAATTAAATAAAAAAAATGTCTGTAAGATCAGCCCTGGAAAGGACTTAAAATAAACTTAAAAATTAATAAATAAAAAATTAAAACATTTACAACTACTTTAGAACATTCATGGTCCAATTGTATTTCTTTTTTCTTGTTTAAATAACATTCTACTGATTCACAAATACATCAAAACAGGCCTACCTTACAGACATTTTTTTACTCTTCTTACGCACATTGGAAATAAAAGACAAGGATCACTTCACAGATTAAGAAAGAAAAAAAAACGATTCATCGCGACGCCATTTTGAAAATTTGTACACTTGTTTTTTTTTTATTTTTTATTTTATCGGCCGAAACAAACGTATAAAATAATCAAGGATTTTATTTTATCGGTGAATTATCCGAGGAATTTTCCGAAAATCAAATCACAGATATCGATGGAAACTTTCGGCGAAATTCATTTAATAGTTATCCCACAAATTATTAATGTATCTACAAACAAGCGTGCTGCTAAAAGTCTTACCTGATGGCTGACCGAGACTGCTGCCCGGTTTCCCTGGTTCGTCGTCCTGAAAGAAAAAAAAAACCATAAACTTTAAGCTCGCATTTGTTAATAAAGCCCGTAAGTAAGCCGGTATGAATGGTTGCCAATGGCAAAAATAGACTTTTGGACGAAAATTGCGATATTCTTACTTGTGGTAGGACCTCTTGTGAGTCTCTTTCGGAGAATACCGCCTCTTAAACTGACAATGAACACAGCTAATTTAAAGGTTTATAATTTCCATCCAAAAGTATATTTTTCATCTTTTTATTTATTTATTGCTTAGATAGGTGGATGAGCTCAGAGCCCACCTGGTATTAAGTGGTTACTGGAACCCATTGACATCTACAACGTAAACCACCACCCACCTTGAGACATGAGTTCTAAGGTCTCAGTATAGTTACAACGGCTGCCCCGCCTTTCAAGCATTACTGCTTGATGGCTGAAATAGGGTGGTGGTACCTACCCACAGCACGTCCTACCACCAATAAGCTACTCCTCACCTCGTTGTATTCCATGGGGTCGTTATCCATTTCGCCGTAATACAGTCCGTCTTCCTCGACGGTTTCCTCCTTCACATCAGCAGCCAGGTCTTCAGATTTCCGTTTCTTAGGTCCGTTGGGAGATGACTGGGGTATCGACTTAGGCGCTTGACTCGGTCCTGACGAGATAAGGGTGTCTGCTTAATTCATTTGTTACAGCCGAATTTGGACACGATTTCAAATAAATACATATATATACATATATATATTTAAAAATGAATTGCTGTTCGTTCGTCTCGTTAAAACTCGAGAACGGCTGGACCGATTTGGCTAATTTTGGTCTTGAATTATTTGTGGAAGTCCAGAGAAGTTTTAAAAGGTAGATAAATATGAAAATGCTCGGAATTGATGTGTCCCCCGTCGGACGGATTCGTTTTGTTTGTTTAAAGTTTATTTTATACAAAAGATTAGGTCTTTTCTTTATCGATTGAGGCACTACGAAGTCTGCCGGGTCAGCTAGTACATACATTATATATGAACACCGTAAATTACTTTGACGCTTGATGTCTGCCCCTCAATCTGAATGCAAATTATTATTATATCACATTGTGTATTTGTACATATTATATATGTAGGTATGGTTTTTGTGTGTGTGTGTGGGTGTGTGTATATATTTCAATAGATTGGTACACCGCGTGTAATTCTTTTCCAAATTATTCTTGTCCACCTGATGGTTGACTGGTAAAGATCGCCTCTATCTCTCTCTCTCTCTCACAGATTTTGCTATAGTTCAAGTCTAACATCTTTGTTGACTAAAAAAGCACGTTGCCTTACCATTGGTAGTGGGGTTGTCCTTCTGTGCGTTCGCGACGAGGGCGTCGCTGGCGACGGTGAAGTCCTTCGTCTCGGGTTTGCTGTCGGTCAGACCGGAACTGTCGTTTGAGCAGAGACCTGTGGAGGAATTGACCATCACCGACCGGAGCTATCCGAATTTACAGTATACTACTCAAGGGGTTATACTAAATTCACAAAACCAGTATGTGAGCTCACGGGGCTCAAACTAGGAGTGTTGCTAACACTGGCCCTAGCAAGAGCAGTGCTTCGCAGAATCTACCCCCGGATCGGAAACGCGACCCACTCAGAAGATCCAGCGAGAAGCTCAGCGGGCTGTGTCTATGGGTTGATGGAATCATAAGATGTGTACAAAGCTATATATCGCATCCCGGCACGATAAAGGAAGCAAAATCACGCCATCTAGCGGACCTGGGCTGCAAATACCCGTCAAACATCGGCTCACTTCGGGGTCGCTTCGGTAGAGTCGAGATGTTATCACTCGGGAATCGAAGCACATTTTTGGCCTGATATCTTAGATTTGTGACCACGCTTTGTAACGCCAGTAATACTAGGGACAAAACCAAGTCGCTGGGTAACTGAGTAACGACCTTATTAAAATTCTTTTGAAGAAAGATATTCCATAGCGGCCAGAGCCGGGCGGTACGTCATCATCGTCATTACTATTTCAGCCTAAAGCTGTCCACTGCTGATCTCCACTCATACCCACCAACAACACCACCAGCACACCACACACTACACCACAACGTAACCCAGCGATTTTCACCAGGTCGTCGGTCCATCTGGTAGGTCGCAAATAAGATCTTTGGAAACGCACTGCGGATGAATGCAGCGGTTCTATCTAGTATAGATGAACTCCTATTAATGGTAATGGGATGGTAATAACGAGATAATTCCATAATTTTCTAATTATGCGACTACCGGATGCTTCGTATAATTAACAGATCGTATTAGATCCATACCGGCACTGAAGCTTAAAAGCTGACAGAAGAAACTCACCTCTGATCTGCAGAGCCTCTGCTGACTTCAGGAGGCTCGGCAGCTCCTCTTGGGTCACGTTCACTTCCCCTTTGTACATAAAGTCGACTAGTGCCTGCATTTCACTGAACCTGAATTCAACATAAGATATACTCTCACAACCACCACTCTTAATTGAACCAGCAATGGACATAAAATTGATCTTAATTCATTACCCTTTAAGAGTAAACGGCAAAAGGAAGATCTTTCATTGAGCAGGTGATATTACCCTCTAATATTATTCAATGTTACATAAAAAAAGCTTAAGAAAAATTTTTTTTACAATATTTGACGGTATAAGTCGTCGTGGCCTAACGGATAAGACGTCCGATGCATTCGTGTTGAGCGATGCGCCGGTGTTCGAATCTCAGGCGGGTACCAATATTTCTAATGAAATACGTACTCAACAAATGTTCTCGATTGACTTCCACGGTGAAGGATTAACATCGTGTAATAAAAATGAAACCCGCAAATTTATAATTTGCGTAATTACTGGTGGTAGAACCTCTTGTGAGTCCGCGCGGGTGGGTGCCTGCCTATTTCTTGCCTATTTCTGCCGTGAAGCAGTAATGGTTTCGGTTTGAAGGGTGGGGCAGCCGTTGTAACAATACTTGAGATCTTAGAACTTATATCTCAAGGTGGGTGGCGCATTTACGTCGTAAATGTCTATGGCCTCCAGTAACCACTTAACACCAGGTGGGCTGTGAGCTCGTCCACTCATCTAGCAATAAAAAAAAATAAAAAAAAATAGGCATTAAATTTAAACGTCGTCTAATAACACTCCAACCATCCGTGAGTGACCACGGAAACAGTATAGTAGTTGAAACGTCTTCAATAATAAACGCAAGATTGAACAATAAAGGCAGTTTTTTATGTCGAAAATACCGAAGAAGAAACTTTATCGAAGTCTATTTGTACAGTATGAATACAAGTGGAGGGTGTTATCAGATCGCGTGGGAGCTACCATCCTGACAATTTCTGCTGCAAAACATGCCAGTTTCAATAGTGAGACAACTGTAATACAACTGATCACATGTCGAGCTATAGACGAATAATGTTCTTGACTTAAACGAAAGGTGCTCACCTCATGTCCCGCATCAGGACGATGGGATGGTCGCAGGGGTTCTGCAGCAATAGCCTCTCGAGGTACGCCGAGCATGCTGACAAGACCAGCTTGTGGCATCGTAGCTGACGCGATTCGCACGCTAACGTGACGTCAGCGAATTGTTCGGTCAGTAACAGGCGCGGGAAAACGGCCTGTTGAAGAGCTGAACTATCAGACCAAAAGGGTCTATGTGAAAGCAACATATTGTCTCCAAACACGACCCGGGGATGACAAATATTGATGACTAGCTATTACACGCGGCTTCGTCTGCGTGCTCAAGGAAAAATGTCACATAATTTTTTCTAAACATAACAAAGCAGTTTTCAGAAGTTCCTCTTTAGGTAACTTATAGCAAGAAAACAATTATCTTTAAAAAAAACGATTTGATATTTACACAAACAGATTTTTATAGCATATCTTTTATTATTTTCCGCTATGTAAGGAACAGATAACACTGTTAGGTACATACTGAACTGACTAAAAAACAAAGGGAGGATGTTTTAGAATTGGGCTGTATTTTTTTTATGTGTTATTAACATCAAAACTATTTGCCAGGTGACACCAATATTCATTATTGTTTTCTTATTTGAAAGCCAGTGCATCTGGTGTGGTCTCATATAATTGTACCAACATCTAACCAATCATTTTTGAGTTAATAATGCATGTTCAATTAAACTTTAACTATATTGACGACATACTGATTTCCTTTTTTTGTTACCGAAATACAGAACTATTTAAAGAAATATATCAGCAACACTAAAGCCCGATAATTGATACTAAACAAAAGACTAAATGCCGAGAGAAAGGTACTTAAATGCCTGCAAATTTTATATATATATAGCACTCACCTGTAGATTAGTGTGATAAGAATTCCAACGGACGCAAAACTGCTGGGGTTGCAGCGCCATCACGGAATCACCTCGACCGGAATACACTAAAGCATTTAGCACTAACCGCTCACGTTATGCGGTGTATAAACGGAATTGCACATTCCTATTGCACTCTCCACTAAATAATTATATCACAGTTTTTTTTTTTTAATTACTATTATTATTAAAAATTTAATTGTATACTAAATATTTTTGTATATGAATAGAAGTATATTTAAGTACGATACTAAGTAGAAACTACGTCAGACTAGAAGGTCTCGGGTTTTCTTTTGAATACTGGATTAACTTTGGTGTGCCTGGAATGAAAAAAAATTTAATTAATAAATAAAAATATTTAAAATAATTCATTAATTAATTAACATCTTTGTTTTTTTCTGATGAGAAGGATGGATGGTGGGACGATCTCACGGTCCACCTAAATGGTTACTGGAGCCTATAGAGATCTACAACGTAATTGCCGCCACCCACCTTGACACATGAGTTTCTGAGTCTCAGTTTTTACAATACAACGAGTGCCCCACCCTTCAAACCGAAATGCATTACTGCTTCACGGCAGAAATAGGCAGGGTAGTAGAATCTAGCCGTATGGACTCACAAGACTTTATTGGTGGTAGGACCTCTTGTGAGTCCGCGCGGGTGGGTACCACCACCCTGCCTATTTCTGCCGTGAAGCAATAATGCGTTTCGGTTTGAAGGGTAGGGCAGCCGTTGTAACTATAACCTTAGAACTTATATCTCAAGGTGGGTGGCGCATTTACGTTGTGGATGTCTATGGGCTCCAGTAACCACTTGACACCAGGTGGGCTGTGAGCTCGTCCAGCAATCTAAGCCATAAAAAAAAAAACAAGTCGCCCTAACACCACTAAGTCTGGTACGTAGTCATTTGTTAAAACCGCGACTTTTTCCTTCCCTTTGGATCGTAGCCTAAGGNCTTAGAACTTATATCTCAAGGTGGGTGGCGCATTTACGTTGTGGATGTCTATGGGCTCCAGTAACCACTTGACACCAGGTGGGCTGTGAGCTCGTCCAGCAATCTAAGCCATAAAAAAAAAAACAAGTCGCCCTAACACCACTAAGTCTGGTACGTAGTCATTTGTTAAAACCGCGACTTTTTCCTTCCCTTTGGATCGTAGCCTAAGGGGCTATTTTAGCTACGCTCTGGATGGTAGATGCCACGGGCTCAACTTAAGAGCTTGCTAACACTGGCCCTAACAAGAGCAGTGCTTCGCTGAATCTACCACCGGATCGGGATCGCGACTATTCCGTGCTGTTCTCACTCTCCATCTATTCCTATCTTTTGCCTAATGGAGAGCTTTGTTCAGAATATACTGCATCGCAAAGAGAATGCTATGAGATATGTTTGAGATATAAGACCTTAACTGTATTATAGAATAAATGACCGTCCTTCAAACTTAAAACCCACTTACACAGGACCTGTAAAGCAATGGAGCCCCACGCGCGTGTAAACAGCCATCTCTCCCAATTATCGTTCAGACACTAGCCGTCTCTGTCTGGCGCCATTAAATTCATAACGAACGACAGAGACAGAGCAAACGTCTGGACGAGGGGGAAAAGTTACAAAAAGTCAATTTTAACGCGAAAATCGATACAGGGTACCGAGCTCTTAAACTATGTACATATATCTATTTATTATGAGTAAGACGTGTTTTGTGTTTGTGTGTAATTTTCACTCATTTATTTTAAATATGATTCGTGATTTTTATTATCTGATCGGCTTCCCGGTGTTAAGTGGTCACCAGCACCTAAATGGCCCAGAAGTGCCAAAACCCTCAATGAATACCGTGCGAGCGAAGTTTCCAAGCCGGATGGTATATCGCTAATATAATGGAAACAAATGCAATGTGGGTTAGCGGTAGGGTTTCAGACAGCACCTTTGAACTATTACCATGACTTGTCGCAGAAGGAAATTACGGGATCATCACGTGAAGAAGCTTTATGCCCCATGCCTCCATGATACTTCAATGGTCACGGACGATTCACGGTCCGGCGTCGTCCATAATAAATGCGATATTAAAACGTAAGAGTGACTTTAATAACTTGATCCTTCTCTTCCTACTTCCTCAGCACTGAGGAACACGATGCACCTCTACGGAGCAATTTGGTTTGGATTATGTTCTTCCATAGGTTCCTATCCTCTACGCAGCGGATAGCGACATTGATGCTGAAGTCCAATGTCGTCTTAAGAACTCGATAAATGTTCAAAATTAGTAAGGGTTGTAAGCATTGATTCAAAAAAAAAGTGGTACCTCTACCATCAACCATCGCAAGCTAACGTGAATCACTAACATATCTTTTATCTTATCGAAGTATAGATGCGAACGCCCTATACGAAGTAGGAAAAGCCAAATAGTAATATAAATTACAGCCCACAATATAAATTGTTATTAGATAAAGAGACAGATGGCAAACTAAACCGCGTCTAAAGAGTGTATTTGTTTTAATTAGCCCAAAAAAATAACACCCGGCAAAAGGTAGATGGTGGTAGGAACTTTTGTGAGTCCGCGCGGTTAGGTACCACCACCGTACCTATTTCTGTCGTGAAGCAGTAATACGTTTCGGTTTGAAGGGTGGGGCAACCGTTGTAACTATACTGAGATCTTAGAACTCATGTCTCAAGGTGGGTGGCGCATTTACATTGTAGATTCTATGGGTTCCAGTAACCACTTAACACCAGGTGGGCTGTGAGCTCGTCCACCCATCTAAACAAAAAAAAAACAAAAGCTTATTATAAAATTCACGCTTAATCCCTATGCAGCATGGTGAAAGAACATGCTGTAACGATCTCACGTAATGTAGGATAAGAGCAATAAGAAGAATGATTAAAGAAGCAATTCTAAATGACAAGTTGACATCTACATTCTATACAATACGTGAAACAAAAACTTTGTATCCCTTTTTACGAAAACTGCGCGGACGGAGGAGTATGAAATTTCCCACACTTATAAAGAATAAAGAGAATGAATGCAAAATTTAATAACTTTTTTTAATTATGCATAAAAAATACATTAAATCGATTTAAAAACCATTACACAAACTACCATGTATTTGACACAGACACACATATATACTCTTTTGTTTATTGTTTAAAGTCTCTGGTCATATTGAGAATAGATTCATATTGTTTGTCTACTTAGTCTGGCCATAAATACTGTTATAATTAAAAATAAACAAAATATTACATTTGAATTTGGAATCTGTCATTTCTATATGATTTCTCATTGAGTTTTGACATTTTGGCGCAAATACATTGTACAATATTTTGCGATATTAAAATGGAGTGGGGGTGATAAAGAGAACCGAATCGCTGTGATTGCATTACACAAAATAGGTATGGAGCCAAATGCAATTTTTTAAACTCTCCATACGCTTGGTATTAGTAAAATGTTTGTGTACCGGGCTATTAATAGGTGCAATGAGACCTCCTCTGTTTGTGACAGATAAAGATCTGGCCGTCCACGTAGTGTACGTACGAAAATGGTGGACAAAGCAGTAAGGGAAAGAATTCGAAGAAATAATGTCCGAAATCAAAATATTTTATCTCGGGAGATGAAGATAGCACCTAGAACCATGTCACGTATTTTAAAAGATGACTTAGGACTTGCAGCCTATAAGAGACGTACTGGTCATTTCTTAACTGATAATTTAAAAGAGAATAGGGTGGTAAAATCGAAACAACTACTGAAGCGGTACGCAAAGGTAGGTCATAGAAAAATTTTGTTTACGGATGAGAATTTTTTTACAATTGAGCAACATTTTAACAAACAAAATGACCGCATTTATGCTCAAAGCTCTAAGGAAGCTTCCCAATTAGTCGACAGAGTGCAACGTGGGCACTATCCGACTTCAGTGATGGTTTGGTGGGGTATTAGCTATGAGGCAGTGACTGAGCCATACTTTTGTGAAAAAGGTATCAAAACATCGGCACAAGTGTATCAAGATACAATTCTTGAGAAGGTAGTGAAGCCCCTTAACAACACCATGTTCAATAATCAAGAATAGTCCTTCCAGCAAGACTCGGCGCCAGGTCATAAAACTCGGTCTACGCAGTCTTGGTTGGAAACGCACGTTTCGGACTTCATCAGAGCTGAAGACTTGCCGTCGTCTAGTCACGATCTTAATCTGCTGGATTATGATTTATGGTCAGTTTTAGAGAGTACGGTTTGCTCTAAACGCCATGATAATTTGGAGTCCCTAAAACAATCCGTACGAATGGCAGTGAAAATTTTTCCCATGGAAAGAGTGCGTGCTTCTATTGATAACTGGCCTCAACGTTTAAAGGACTGTATTGCAGCCAATGGAGACCACTTCGAATAAGCTTTTTATACTTTAAATTGTTTTATATTTATGTATTAAACTAAAACACTGTAAAAGTAATAAATGTTATTTGCAATAGAAACTTTTTTATTTTTAATTGTAACAGTATTTATAGCCAGACTGAGTATAGTGTAGTCTTGTGGCGAAATCTGTGATTAAAGAAGTTTAAGTCTTTAGACATCAATAACGTAAACACTGCCACCCAGCTTGAGATATCAGTTTTAAGGCCTCAGTATAATTACAACGGCTGTCCCACCTGTCGAAGCGAAACGCATTACATCTGCGTCACCGCAGAAATAGGCAGGACAGTGGTACCTACCCGCGCTGACTCACAAAACGTCCTACCATCAGTAAATTTGACAATAGAACCATAATAATGTTCAAACTTATAATTTCAATTAATTTTTTCGAATTTAGACCACTGCGGGACCTCTAAGTAGTATATATAAATACGTTTACCTTCTCTAGCCCACGAAACGTGTGCTCGAAATAGATTCAAAACCATCGAGAAATACGATTTTCAATAAACATTCGCTATGTTAAAGGAAATGCAACTCAAATATAACGGACATTACATTTATAACACGCGGCGTTGGGTTGTCGACTTTAAAAAATAAATTGCTCCACATAGGTATATTTTTATTTTTAGTGACCATATTTATTTGACAAACGAAGCAATGACATTGCCTTATGATACTTTTTTGTATAGTGGTATGATGGTAGCTTATTTTGGCTTCGTAAACAGAGGAGAATACGGCCCATTTGACGGTGACTGGTTACCATCGCTCGTGGACATCGGCAACGCCAGAACAACAGCCGCAGACACACAGGCGAACCGCTGCCTAAAAGCTATTGAAATTGTAATAATAATAACTGGAAACAAAACACGTACGATCATCCAGCCCCAAATCAGGATTCCCAGGGTTCCGACTATCAGAGACTGATAAACATTTTTCTAAAT